AGTGAGAACGGAGCTGGTTCACTATGGTTCACCGCAGCGTTCCTTATCCAGTTGTTGTTATTCTCAGTAAACACGCTTCCCCGTTAGAAATTTTGCTATTTGTATTTGTTTTTGGAACTGGTTAATTTTTGTTAAATTATATTAGCCTCGTATAACGTTACCTAAAGTAATGGTCGGTAAAGGCAAACAGCGATATCATTATCAAGGATGCGCTCAAAATATCGATGTCCATTTTTTTTTGCACATACTTTTATCTTTTAATGTACAATTTTTTTCTTTGGCAAATGTGTCTTTTCGTACTTTCTGCAAATCTTTTATAAACAACATATCTTCTGATGGGTTGATCATTGATCTTTTCAGACTTGGTAGGCCTAATGTCCCAGTTCTTTCCCAGCATACAGCTTAACTAACTGGATTGTTAAAATTTTATTCAGCCTCGAGCAACCAAGATCAGTGTCCAGCCAATATTGCAAGAAACACAGGTCGAGTCTATAGGGAATACTGTAAAATTATTGGCACACATGAAAAATGAATTCTTGGATACTGGTCTAGGAGAGAAATGCATTTCTGGAAATAGCCTTCCATAGGACAGACGATTTTGTGATGGCTATAAAAGTAACACGTAACTGATACTTATGGAAAACACCTCAGGAAATTCATGGACCTCATGAACGTAAACAATGGGTTCATAACCCCAGAAGTTCAAGGCATTATACGAACTTTTACAGTTTGCCGATTTTTCTTTAACAGTAGCAGCGACAGGATTTTGCAAGAGTTGACTACTTGATCTGTCTCCTCAGTAAACTCAGCAACTAACGTGGCAGATCAGAAACAAATTCGAAAGACCATGCGTATTTCAGAACCAAGACCAGGTATAAACAAATTGAAAGTGCAAGTACAAGTATAATGATACCGACAGATTTTGGAATAAGACACACGCACAAAGACATTTGTTGAAGGAGACATTACACTGCTTTTAGTTTTATCCATCCTAATACTGAGATAACAGAGTTCAGAGACAGAGAAAGAGACAGCGGAGAGATGTCAGGTACGAACCATGATGACAGGTTGAGGACATGTCGGAAACGAGTTGACGTAGCCGTAGACTGCCATACATAACACTATATTACATAGCGCTACTACGTCGATGATATACTAATCATCTTCCCCAAGAGACTCAATATACATAGTATCCTTAACAGTGTCAACAACATCGAGCCTACCAATATTTCCATGTTAGAGGAGGAGGAGATGACGGACAGCCATCTATCTTTCTTGGATGTCCTATACCCTGCTGCCAACTGAGTGACATTTAAAGTTTACCGGAAGCCCACCAGTAATGACGACTTCATTTTACTTCTATACACAGCAAGACACCAGACCCAAACATATGTTATCATAGTTTTCTTCTTTAGGGTCCATAGCATCTCCAGTCCACACTTTCTCGAGAGAGTAGAAGGCACGCCCTACAAATTTTTAACGCTAACACAAGTGAAAGATCTTTCACCAGATACACAGACCTTCGTGTCACTAATGTGGTCAGCAGCATTTCTCCAGCACCAATAGGCAGTCGTATTAGCGTAACAACAAGTTCTACCACCACCATGAAAGACCTGATTAAATCGAAGCCAGTGTCACAATAGAAAACAGTGCTGGTGTTTATAGGATCCCTTATAAGGATGTTATAAGGTAGACAGGAAAAACAGGCATAACCATTGACCAACGTGTTAGAGAACACATAAGTGCCTGCAGTAGTGATGATATGAACAGCTCATGTGTTCAACACTGTAACACAAAGGGTCACATCATGAGGTGGGAAAGAGCAGAGGTGTGATTTAATAAGACGTCGGTACCTAGAAACCTCAAAGATTTAGCTCCTAAAACTCAGGAAACCTTAAAATCTCCAGTATTCTCGTTATAATGATTCTGCCCAACCACACTGCCATCAGACGAGACAAGAATGTACAAGCACTGCAGTAGGCCTTCTGGCTCACGTTAAGCAGATTCTTCTCAGTTCCACTCATTTTCGTACACTCGTTTCCGACAAGTAACCTCAACCTATCTTTCAGCTTCACACACGCCATACCTCTGTCTTGACTGTCCATGGGGCAATCAAGATAAGTAGTAGTGAATACAAAATCTCAACCAAATACTATATAACAGCCAAGAACTAGGAGAAAAGTACTCACCTAGAGTGGTACTAGGCACATATGCATCCATCTTGAACAATTATTTCTTCAAGAGTTTGATAGCTACAAAATAATTGTATCATTTCCATATGCCTCTCATGGGGGCTACACAGGAGTAAGAATTCAACTTGTTAATAAGATTGGTAACCCAGCTTTCGGCGCCGCTGTAGATATCTTGTCTGTAATTAGTAGGTTCATCAGCCCCTTCCTGACAGGTTAAATTAGTGACAAAGTTAAACATTTCTTCGATGCAACTTTATGCGCCTTTATGTACCTAATTTACACCCTCTGCCAGTTAGTTCCACAGTGATGAATCAATATCGTCAGTAAAAAGCTGTCCCCAAAGTGCATTGATCAAATCAACTTGGCATTGGGGGTCTCTAAATTAAGCCGAACATCGCCTCACTGGACAAATAATGTTATAGTTTCAATAATGCATGGAATTCAGCATTTCTAGATTTCTAGAATTCATTATTTCTAGATTCTGTCCCTTCGTTGCAGATGGGGAGTAAATTATTTATTCGGTAGTCGTTCAGCAAGACTTCTCACGCCATTTATTTTCCATGTGGTATTTAGGAAAATCACAAGCAAGTTGACAAGCAAGCAATATGTGGCAGGTACAGATGAATCCCTGCTAGCTCATTTACTGCTTGTTAAATCAGGGGAAACTCGTCCTCATTACTTGCCAAATGGGAAATACATTTTACCAGAAGTCTTAGCCATTGCTACGTGTTGATAATTTTCTGCTCAAGGCATACTCTGGGTTCAATGACATTATCACAATCCTCGAAAATAAAATGAATCACCTCAACAAAAAGAAACATACATTATGAGTTGACATGAACGCCCAAACTCACCTATCGTGTGACAATCAAATCAGTGAATACTACAAGATTCTCAAGTCAATATACATCTATCTATCCTCTCTGTTAGACTTAGAGGATAAGTGCCCATAAGACAACTTGCGTCCGACCTTCGTGTGCTGTATGAAGGTAACTGCATTTGAGAGTTTACCGAAAATGTTAATTTCCGGGACATTTAATGACTCTTCACCATGACCTATTTCTCCTAAAGAGCTGAAACAGTCCCAGTGCCAAAGCTCCATAGAGAATAACAGTGTCTCAGTGATGCACGGAAATGTGTTGCGGAACAGCGGAGCTTACTGGGCATTTTCATTTAAAAGTGGTTATTTCCTCCCTGTGCAGTCGACCTCTGCATAAATTCTTCAAAAAAGCTATATCCCCGAAACTACCTCAGCTGACCAATTTTAATCTTCATGGTCTCGTCTGTCAGAAGGTCAGAAGGCAAAACACAAGATACAAGAAATTATTAAATATTACCAAGAGATGCTTTGACGCTCCCAACTATTCACAATGAATGGACGCCAATGTATGAGGAAAAAGCGGCAGTCAGAAGCCACCAGATACCGCCGCCATGTTATTGTCTGGTGGTAAACAGATTATAGGGGACCAAATATGTCTCTACAATGACTGATGCTCGTCCCTGACACAGCGGATCGGAAAAAGGTGTTGTGGCAAGCTTCGAGGAGACCAAGAAAACTGTATTATGCATTTTCACAAATTCGTACCAACAGGCTTAGAGACTCGATTTATGGAAAAAAATTCAAGTGCTGATAGGTAAGCTCGTCAGGAAATTAAAATCCCTAGAGTAACCAGTTCCTACGCTTTAGTATCGCAGTTCAAAGTGCATATGCTTGCTACGACTTAGGTACATGGCTTACCTCTTAGTAGCCTAACGTTTTAATAAATAATATATATATATATATATAATATATATATATATATATATTATATATATATATATATATATATATATATATATATATATTATATATTATATATATATATATATATATATATATATATATATATATATATATATATATATATATATATATATATATATATATACATATAATGTCGCGCCGAATTGGCGAGTTTGGCCTTAAAAGAAAGGGTCATTTCTGCTGAATAAGCAGAGTATAAATTTGTTTACGCATTGAATCTGCGAAATTCAATCTGATCATGACGAAAAATACATAAATCATTAATTCTTTATGTATTTAAACTGATGTATGATGTATTTAAAGGAAATATTATTTAAAAAATTGCATTAGGTTAGATTTAGTTAGGTGAGGTTTCTAAATAAGGTTTCGTGCCAAAATTTTTTTACAACATACTAAATGAAAAAAAATTTGGAAAACTTCAATTTTTAGATCAGTTCGATAGGTGAGGCTTCATAGGTCGGCAAATTATTACAACATACTAAATAATAAATAATTTATAATATAATTTAATATATATATATATTATACTATAAATATATATATATATATATATATATATATATATATATATATATATATATATATATATATATATATATATATACATGTAAACGCTACAAATAAATAAAGTGCGGGTGATAAGTGCAAAAATTACCAAACTTGGTGCAGTCACTAATTCAACGAGAAGGCAGTTGCCATTAGACCAAACTTCCTACCATATACTTACAGTGTACAAACTAATGGTTTTGTAATAACATCAGTGTTCATGTTAGATAATTATATATTTAGATTAAAGCCTTGTAAGTGTGTTTACAGTACAAATGATGAATGTGCTGTGGGAAGAGTATGTGCTGGTGAAATTAACACCTAATGTTGAGTCCATTAGTTTTCTATATATCAACGAATTGGACTTAACGACTCACGGACTAAGTTTCAAACAATACGTCATTATATCATTGCTAAAAAAAAAAAAAGACAGGTCTGCCTCATGCCTCTTTGCCCACCTGGTATGATTTTCCCCCAAACCTTCGGCCGCAGCAGGTGACGGTGAAGTTAGCGTGGCTGGAGAGCGATGGGCTCCGGCTCTGTGGTGGGGAGGCGCTGCCCGGCCGGTTGGGCTGACCGTTGTACGGAACATCCAGCTCCACGAACTCGCGGTCCTGCCGGATGGAGTCGAGTTAGAGTAGCAGCGTCATGGAGGCGGGCCTACCCACCCACTTTGGGCAACGTGGGTCACAAGGGCTATACCAAGTGAACTGGGAGAATTAACTTGAACAAGAAAAAGAGACACACCTAACCACCTGGAACAAGCGCGCGCGTTCTCACACACATACACACACACACATACACACACACACACACACACACACACACACACACACACACAAAACACACACACACACACACACACACACACACACACACACACACACACACGCTCACACATACACACGCTCACACACACAGGATGTTGAAGACTCAGATGAATCACAGGGATGTTAGGAAGTAATCCTCAGTCACAGAGTTGTCAGGAAGTGGAACAGCCTGGGTAGTGAGGTAGTGGAGGCAGGATCTATACATAGCATTAAGAAGAGGTATGATAAAGCTCACGGAGCGGGAAGAGTGACTAGGTAGCGGCCAGTTGAAGAGGCGGGGCCAGGAGCTGTGAATCGACCCCCGCAACCACAACCAGGTGAGTACACACACACACACACACACACACACACACACATACACATTTACACATCTCAAGTCTACACCTCAAACAATATTGGACGTCAAAAAGGGGTTCTCGTAGTACATCGAGAGGGTAGAAAGTGTAAAAGCCTTGGAAAAGGGAAACACTGAAAACGTTGGGAGATAATTTTGGGTGAGAAACAAAATAAGCACACAAGGTAAACATGATGGTCATTATGTGAAGGGTGGGAGTATAGAAGAGAGTTTGATACACATTAACCACACACTTGAGAGTTGGAAGCCAGAATGAACAGGGAAATACATGAGAAGTGTGGATTACTTAGGCAAATGCAGGAGAAATGGGCAAAACAATGAAAAAGGATATATAATTTCTCAGATTTGATAGTAAGGTTATGAGACGAGCTGAGGTCAGCAGAAACTTGATGAAGTACAGATGAGGTACATCTCTGAATGAAAATCTGGGTACAGGAGGTGGGCAGACTCTGGCAGGGCTAAGTAAAGCATATAAAACCGTGCCAAAAATAATGGAGGAGAGAAGCGAAGGCCATATTAAATAAAAGTCAATGAGGGGAAAAAAAAGAATATTGATGATATTAGAACTGTGTGAAATAAACCAACAAGCAGCAAACAAGATGATAAGAAGCATAGGGGTGCTGATAACAACAGTACCGAAAAACAACTAGAAACAAGTTTTAAAGAAAAAGAGAGCACGATAAACAAAGATATTTACACAAAGTAATTTTTGTAACACTAGAGGAAAGACACAATATAGTATAGAAAAAATAATGCAGTACAACCTTAGTAAGGTGCAATATAGTTTTCATGCACAGAAATACGTACCACAAATGCAGTTTTTTTTTAAGTTAGGGTAGGAATTTTGGAAAATACAGTAAAAGTTAAAGAACACGAAAGAAAGAGGTATACCACAGAAGAAGTAAAAAGGAGTAGGACCAGAAATAAAGTTTTAGATGACAACCAATATCACCCCAACCACAAAACTCTCTCATTACTTTTCACTCACATTATCTTTTTTTTAAACTACTTTGTTATATCTTCCCTTCCCTCTTTCTCATTTTCATATCTTCTTACACAACCCATAACTCATCCACCATATTGTATCTTCTCTTTATCCCCTTCCGTAGTGGTCATCTTTCCCTTCCCTTCTCTCTCTCTCACTACCTTCACTTTCCCTCTACCTCCCGTCACCCTAGCTCCTCTACTTAGTCTCCTACGATCATTGTTTCCATTTCTCTAAAGACCCTCACCCCTCCGTTACTTCCCCTATCCTTTAACACCCCCTCTCCAGCAGCTCATATCCAACTGTTACCATCCAGACCTTCACCTTTCCTTACCCTCTTGGTTTCCACTTACAGGAACCTCGCTTTTATCTAAGACTTCACTCCTCTATTTCCATTTACAAATGTAGCCCCATCATGTCTCTCTTTTTCCAATGATTGCCTCTCTCACACTTCTCTCGATTTTCCCAATGCTCCTCTCCCTTAAACCCATATTGCTCCACTTCATCTTATTTTTCCTTTACAGTATATATCCCCCCCCATCGTCCACAAACCCCTAACAACACTCCTTAATCAGAACATCTTCATCTCTCCCTATCCTTCAATTTCTTCTCACTTCTATCCCACCTTGCTTCTCATTTGCCCTTCCTCTCCCCCCTATCCCGACTGCCTCCTTCCTTTCTCCATTTCTCTCTTCCCTCTCAACTGATCCATCTACTGACTCTTACTTCTCCAATTGTCTTGTCTCTCTCTTCTTTTTAATTTTCTTCCCGAATCGCTTTCACAACCACTCCCTGTACATTTCCTTTCTTCTTAGCCACTTCTGCCTTTCCTTTGTTGTATCTTCTGTCCCTCCCATCACCTGCCCTTCCCTATCTGCCATCCTTTCTCCTTTTCAGTTCCCTTTCACATACTCTACTTCAATCCTACAAACCAAACTCTACTCAGTTTCTTACCCATTATCCTTGAACATGCCTACTCCATCTCACTCCTCACTTTCTCCGTCTTCATCATCCCTTCAACCTCTACTTCTTTTTCCTCCTCACATTCAACTCTACACTTCTTCCCAATTCTCGTGCCTACACGACAACATATCTTTTCCCTTCCTACTGTTTGTCTGTCTCTGTCTGTCTGTGTCTGTCTGTCTCTTATCTCTCTTCTCTCTCTCTCTCTCTCTCTCTCTCTCTCTCTCTCTCTCTCTCTCTCTTCTCTCTCTCTCTCTCTCTCTCTTTCCCTTCCACCATCTCACATTCCCTCACTCATCCTTCAAATACCCAAGCCATGACTAATACAGAACCAGAGATTCGAACACTAACTGTACAGCAGAAAGAACAAAATGTGGTATATAAACGCAGACAGATTCACGAGCATGGACAAAGAAAAAGCACAGAGTTGCAGAGGAATACCCAGACATCATAGCTCTCAGAGAGACAAACCTCACAGGAATAATTTACAGTGCAATATTCCCAAAAGAAGTAACATACAATGGTGAGAAAGAAATAAGAGAGGAGTGATACTAATGAATAGCATCCTCTGAAGTTTAGATCAATTGGGAACCTAAATGTGTGTAAGTTCCATGCCTATTTTGCAGGAACAATTTAGGTATTAAATTAAGGTCATTGCAGTGGTGATTTAAACGCCCTTCCTGCACAACGTCGACTGAGGCAGGAGTACAAGCACAACAAGGCACTATCACATTCTAGTGAAGGCAATACGAAGAGAAACAACGATAAGTGCAAAAAATAATATTCAGAAGGAAATAAATTGTGAGAAGTGGATTAAGACCAGAAATTGGAGGCAAAAACGATGATAGCATCAATAAAAACTTCTATGTGCCTAAGTGTTTTTTTTTTTAAATAAGAACAAATTTACCAGCGTGTATGGAATGAAATGAACCTAACGAGAAGGAATGTTGGAATACCACTGAATACTTAAATAAGTGTTAGAGGTGAGGATTGCAAGGATACATGAAAGAAACGGATAAAGAGATAATTAAACAAAAATAGGACTATGTAAGGACAAAAGTTTTCGTAAATGAAAGGTCAGACGTGGAATGAGATGACTAGAGGTGGTAGATAGAAAAAATATTTCTACAAAAATTGAAAAAAAAAATGGAAAATAGAGAAACATTTAATGACCTAACCTGAACAATATGACATTTTTTTTCTGAACAATATGAAAATAAGAAACAGAAGAACGAGTAAAAGTTCATAAAAAAGGGTGTTAACAGAGAAGAGGAAAGTAAGTAACAGACAGAATAAGAAGAAAGGTACAGTAGCAATTTTAGAATGACTGTCACTGCCAAAACAGAATCGAAATATTTCACAGACACAGCAGAAAAAAAAGAGAGAGTAAACGATCACGTAATGATTTTAAATAATTCTCCAGCTGTCTGAATAATTAGCCAGTTTTCTTGCCAGGAGGACACAGACACCAAGATCCAGTAATCCGTGAGCCACACCATCCCAACTTTTCTCTCAGGATGAAGGGACTGTTCTTCCCACTTGCTAACCAGTTTCCCATGAATTCCCCCATTTATAATTGCGCTTGACACTCTCCAGCAGCATATCATATCCCCAAAATTACTCATCCTGAGTTATTCTGACTGAACACTCTCACACAGGTTTGCAGGATGCTAAGTCTTGACTACTGAGTAACTCCTACATACTCTTCAAAAATTCCTCTGATGTCTGCAACACTTCCAACCATTCGACCAAGATTTATACAACCTCAGAATCAAAAGATCTTCTTTAGGTTCTTCTATATTACCAAATCATCTCACCACCGAAATAAAATTATAATTTCTTCACACTGTACTTCTCTTCGTATAATTTACCACAAAGTGATCTCAAAAACTAGTTTTCCACAGCTTCCAACGTCCTCCATGCAACATTTTTCAAGACTAACTAACACTCATATACATAAAAGCATTGTATCACAGTTCACTGCTACTTTCTTTCCATCATCTGTTAGGCGATTTTACTTACAAATAGATCCCTCAGCCGAAACATTTATTCTCGAGCATCTATATACATTCACAACCATCCTTCTTTTCCTTCATTTCAATATGACCGCAAATCTTTCATATATATTGAGACACACACACACACACACACACACACACACACACACACACACACATATATATATATATATATATATATATATATATATATATATATATATATATATATATATATATATTATATATTATATATATTATATATATATATATATATATATATATATAATATATATATATATATATATATATATATATATATATATATATATATTATATATATATTATATATATATATATATTATATATATATATATATATATATATATATATATTATATATATATATATATATATGTATATATGTTATTTGTGTTTGTGTGTGTTGTGTGTGTGTGTGTGGTGTGTGTGTGTGTGTGAGTGTG